AATAAATCTCTATATACAATATATGGTAATACTGCATTACATAAAAATACATCTCTAAATACACAATAGGGTAATAATGCACTATATAATAAAAAATCTCTATATACACTATGGGATACTAATGCACTAAATAATAATAAATCTCTATATCCACTATAGGATAATAATACACTATATGACATTAAAACTAAATATACACTATAAGGTAACAATGTGCTATATAATAATACATCTCTATATACACTATAGGGTAATGCACTTTATGATAATAAATCTTTATATACATTATAGAATAATAATGCACTATATAATAATAATAAATATCTATATACACTATAGGGTCATAATGTAGTATACGTTAATAAATCTCTATTCACACTAGAGGGTAAAAATGCACTATATATTAATAAATCTCTATATGCACTATAGGGTAATAATGTACAATATGATGATACATATCTTTATACACTATAGGCTAATGATGCACCATATAAAACTACTCTTTATACACTATAGGGTAATAATGCACTATATAATAATAATAATAAATATCATTTTATACACTATAGGGTCATAATGTAGTATACGTTAATAAATTTCTATACACTTTATAGAGTAATAATGCACTATATTATAATAAATCTTTGCATACACTATAGGGTAATAATGCACTATATTATAATAAATCTCTACATACACTACAGAGTAATAATGCATTATATTATAATTAATCTCTGCATACACTATGGGGTAATAATGCATTATATTATAATTAATCTCTGCCTACACTATAGGGTAATAATGCATTATATTATAATAAATCTCTGCATACACTATAGGGTAATAATGCACTATATTATAATACATCTCTACATACACTATAGAGTAATAATGCACTATATTATAATACATCTCTACATACACTATAGGGTAATAATGCATTGCATTATAATACATCTCTACATAGACTATATAGTAATAATGCACTATATGATAATAAATATACACTATATAGTAATAATGCACTATATGATCATAAATATCCATACACACTATATAGTAATAATGCACTATATAATGATAAATGTATACTATACATTCTGTCTGTATGTACAGTACAGGGTAGCAAAGCACTATATGGTAATACATCATACTTTTAATGTACTCTATATGTAATAATGTACTATATATCCTCACAGTATATGTATTCACAACTTTATATCTATCTTAGAGACCAGGGCAATTTATTCCCTTCTGCTCCAACACTTCAGGAATAAAACTATTAACCCCTCCTCCCCCCATCTCTCTCTCTCTCTCTCTCTCTCTCTCTGTGTCTTTCTGTCTATCTATCTATCTATCTATCTCTCTGTCTGTCATTCTATTTCTGACTGTCTATGTTAATATCTGCATTATACACAGAAACACAAACGCTCATTCTACAACACACAGAAACTAATTCTACGTTTTTATTACAGTTATATGATACATTTCTGCATACATATACACACAGGCATATAAATATAAACTCCATGAACACAGATTTATAGAACCCCACTGCCTTCTATTGCATTTGGGGGCAAAATGTCTATATCCATGCTTTTGCATTCAGCTGTCCTTAAATAATCATATAGGACAGAAATCATGAAATGTACAAATACTTAAAACAGATCATTCTATGTATTGCTTTGACAATATGATTAAAAGGATGGGGCTCCTTAACTAGAAGAAGGATATAGAAAATCTCTATTTAGCCACTGACAGAAAAAATATCGAATTGTATTTTGTTTCAGGCTAAATAAAGCGTGTAATCTTATCCATTGTTATATTTCTAATTATTAAGATAAATATTAATTTCAGTCCAAACGAAAGCAGAACTTAAAAAGCTTCAAACCACCCCAGAAACGTACTAATGATGAATTCAAAGAATGTTTTGTATAAAAATTATAATATAAACTATCAAATAATCTAGATTAAAAAAAAACAACAATGTTATTAATAAGCTTTAGAGCTGATATTAATGGAACAGATCAAACAAACTCATAACATAACTGTATTATTATTATTATTATTATTATTATTATAATGATCATCATGTTTTTATTTTACCAAAGGCTGCTTATAGAAAGTGATTCGTTGATATCTCAAATGTGTTGTTTAAAAAAAAAAAAAAATAATAATAATACATTGTTTATTCTAGAAAGTACAGATCTTTAAATAATGTACAACAATTAAAGCAAATGTTAAATAATTCATAAATAAATTATTTCTGTCACAGATATTCGAAATACATTAGATAGATAGACAAATAGACAAACAGATAGGTTGACAGACAGACTGACTGACAGACAGACAGACAGATAGATAGATAGATAGATAGATAGATACAATATAGACAGACAGATAGATAGATAGATAGATAGATAGATAGATACAATATACAGACAGACAGACAGATAGACAGATAGATAGATACAATATAGACAGACAGACAGATAGATAGATAGATAGATACAATATAGACAGACAGACAGATAGATAGATAGATAGATAGATAGATACAATATAGACAGACAGATAGATAGATAGATAGATAGATAGATAGATAGATAGATACAATATAGACAGACAGATAGATAGATAGATAGATAGATAAAGTATAGACAGACAGACAGACAGACAGACAGACAGACAGACAGATAGATAGATAGATAGATAGATAGATAGATAGATAGATAGATAGATAGATAGATAGACAGACAGATAGAGCAGTTATTTAGGATTTTACTTTGCATCCATGTAACATTTGCTTAAATACTCAGTAACTATAGCTAATAGAATTGATAGATAGTTATGACTATGACAATACAATGTGCAGTTAAATAATGTTTTAAAAGTGTGGATAAAAACTGCAGTTTGCTTATAACGATGTATTGCAATTGCAATGTACAGACCTTGTTACATCAACTCCCATGATTCTGATCCAGCCAGCTGACTGGTTGGCTGGGCATGCAATGAGTTAATGATGGCTATTCTGTGAACAGATGGCATTTGGGTGTTAAAAGTGAAAGATTTGGTTAATTTGCTGTGCCCCCTGGCAGTGCCCCTTTTGCCATCAGTAAATCTAATCACCAAATCTCTCTCTGTTCTCGGTTTGCAGAATATTCCGCATCATGCAACGGTTGTCATGGTAACTGCAAAAATAATCTGTTTCAGATTTATTTTCTAAACACTATCGGCAGTTTAAAAAAAAATAAATACCAAAATCACCTGGTTTCACCTTTAAAAATAGAAATTAAATGAAAAAATAGAGTTTTGTGGGGATTGTAGTTTTTTAAAAGCTGCAGGATTTAGTTCCAACATAAACAAATCCCCAGGACCCAGCCAGCACCGTGTGGAAATAGAAAGGTACTTTGTGTTTGTGTCCACAATGATATCATTATAATACATTTAATGGCAGCCTGGTTAATGAATGCTCTTTTTATTCCCCAATCCCCTCAGTCACTGTGTGCTGCAATCACAATATTACTGTCACATTCCCATCAGGAAATGGAGAAAACCTAAACAGGTAAATTGCCTGAATGTCTGTCTCTAGTCTGTCTGTCTCTCTGTCTGTCTTTCTCTCACTGTCTCAAGTCTCTGTCTCTCTGTCTGTCTTTCTCTCACTGTCTCAAGTCTGTCTGTCTCTCTGTCTGTCTTTTTCTCACTGTTCCTAGTCTGTCTGTCTCTCTGTCTGTCTTTCTCTCACTGTCTCAAGTCTGTCTGTCTCTCTGTCTGTCTTTCTCTCACTGTCTCAAGTCTGTCTGTCTCTCTGTCTGTCTTTTTCTCACTGTCCCTAGTCTGTCTGTCTCTCTGTCTGTCTTTCTCTCACTGTCTCTAGTCTGTCTGTCCCTCTATCTTTCTTTCTCTCACTGTCTCTGGTCTGTCTTTCTCTCTCTCTCTCTCTCTGTCTTTATCTAAATGTCTCTAGTCTGTCTGTCCCTCTGTCTTTCTCTCACTGTCTCTGGTCTGTCTTTCTCTCTCTCTCTCTCTCTGTCTTTATCTAAATGTCTCTAGTCTGTCTGCCTCTCTGTCTGTCTTTTTCTCACTGTCTCTAGTCTGTCTGTCTCTCTGTCTGTCTTTTTCTCACTGTCTCTAGTCTGTCTGTCTCTCTGTCTGTCTTTCTCTCACTGTCTCTAGTCTGTCTGCCTCTCTGTCTGTCTTTTTCTCACTGTCCCTAGTCTGTCTGTCTCTCTGTCTGTCTTTCTCTCACTGTCTCTAGTCTGTCTGTCCCTCTATCTTTCTTTCTCTCACTGTCTCTGGTCTGTCTTTCTCTCTCTCTCTCTCTCTCTGTCTTTATCTAAATGTCTCTAGTCTCTCTGTCCCTCTGTCTTTCTCTCACTGTCTCTAGTCTGTCATTCTCTCTCTCTCTCTGTCTTTATCCAAATGTCTCTAGTCTGTCTTTCTCTCACTGTCTCTAGTCTGTCTTTATCTCTCTCTCTGTCTTTATCTAAATGTCTCTAGTCTGTCTGTCCATCTGTCTTTCTCTCACTGTCTCTAGTCTGTCATTCTCTCTCTCTCTCTGTCTTTATCTAAATGTCTCTAGTCTGTCTTTCTCTCACTGTCTCTAGTCTGTCTGTCTATGTCTGTCTTTCTCTGCCACTTTCTATTTGTCACTCTCATCTATCTCTCTGTCTCTTTGTTTGTATATATGTGTCTCTCTCTGTAAGTTTGTATATCTGTGTGTCTCTGTCTGACGTCCAGACAGACAGACTGACAGATATATAGACAGAGAGATAGACAGACAAACAGTACGTGAGTATGTGACGTTACGGAAATCTGAGTATGTGATGTCATAGCTCCCTGAGTACATGATGTCAGATTACCGAGTACATGTTGTCACAGCACCATGAGTACGTAATGTCATAGCTGCATTAGTATATAACATCTCCATGAGTGCGTGATGTCACAGCCATCCTCATGCATGATATCACAACTTTCTTAGTACATGATGTCATAGACCCCTAAGTATGTGTGATGTCACAGCTCCCAGAGTATGTGATGTCACAGCTCCCTGAATAAGTGATGTCACATCTCCCATAATGTGTAATGTCACAGCCCCCTGAGTATGTGATATCAAAGCTTCCTGAGTGCGTGATGTCACATCTCCCTTAGTACATAATCTCACAGCTTCCTGAGTACATGACGTCACATAACCCTGAGTAAGTAATGTCACAGATCCATGAGTTGGTGATGTCACAGTTATCTCGTATGTGATGTCACAGCTTACCTCAGTATGTGATAGCACAGCTCCCTCAGTATGTGATGTCCCAGCCCCCTGGTTATGTGATGTCCCAACTTCATGAATATGTGATGTCACAGCTCCTTGAGCATGTGATGTCACAGCTCTCTCAGTATATGATGTCACAGCTCCATGAGTACACAATGTCACAGCCCCTTGAGTACATGATGTCATATCTCCTTGAGTACATGTCACAGCACCCTGAGTACACGATGTCATATCTCCTTGAGTACATGATGTCACAGCTCCCTGAGTATGTGATGTCACAGCTCCCTGAGTTTGTGATGTAACTTCTCCCTGACTATGTGCTGTAACTTCTTCTTGAATACATGATGTCACAGCTCCCTGAGAACGTGATGTCACACCTCCCTTAGTATGTGGTGTCACAGCTCACTGAGTATGTGATGTCACTTCTCCCTGAGTACATGATGTCACAGCACCATGAGTACATGATGTCACAGCTCCCTCAGTACATGATATCACAGCCCCTTGAGTGCACAATGTCACAGCCCCTTGAGTACATGATGTCACATCTCCTCAGTATGTGGTGTCACAGCTCACTGAGTACATGATGTCACAGCTCCCTAAGTATGTGATGTCACTTCTCCCTGAGTATGTGATGTCACAGCTCCATGAGTATGTGATGTCACATCTCCCTCAGTATGTAGTGTCACAGCTCACTGAGTACATGATGTCACAGCTCCCTGACTATGTGATGTCACATCTCCCTCAGTATGTGGTGTCACAGCTCCCAGACTATGTGATGTAACTTCTCCTTGAGTACGTGATGTCACAGCTCCCTGACTATGTGATGTCACTTCTCCTTGAGTACACAATGCCACTTCTCCCTGCGTACATGATGTCACATCTCCCTCAGTATGTGTTGTCACAGCTCACTGAGTACGTGATGTCACTTCTCCCTGCATACATGGTGTCACATCTCCCTCAGTATGTGTTGTCACAGCTCACTGAGTACATGATGTCACTTCTCCCTGAGTTCGTGATGTCGCAGCCCACTCAGTATGTGATGTCACAGCCCACTCAGTATGTGATGTTGCAGCCCACTCAGTACGTGATGGCACTTCTCCCTAAGTACGTGATGTCGCAGCCCACTCATTATGTGATGTCACAGCTCCTTGAGTACATGATGTCACAGCTCCCCGACTGTGTGATGTCACAGCTCCTTCAGTAAGTGATGTCAGAGCTGCAGTGTTTCTTTACTTACCTTTTCAGCTTTCCAGATTTAACCTATTGTTGGGCATGAAATGGTTAAACCAAAAAAGACAGGACATACACTGTATATTATATTAACATTACAGTTATTATTTATTCCTTCATTTGTATTGTTTTTTTACACAATTCTGTATTGACCATTTGTCTTGGTGATGCAATCCGTTACTAAACACCTGAGCAGAGAATAATATCTAACATAATGCATTATACTTACAGGCTATCTTTTTAGAAAATGTGCAACAATTTAGTGAAGTGGAGATGTCAAAGTCATATAAGCACATCCGATCTTTAAAAAAATACACTAAACATGGTTAACTATTCAGTAATGGGCAGCTGCAAAGCAGGATTTAAAGAGAAACTATAGGGAGACCGGATCGCTATTTTTCAAACAGACAACAACAACAAAAAAAACATACAAAGTACAGGAGATACTCGAAAAATTAGAATATCGTGCAAAAGTTCATTTATTTCAGTAATGCAACGTAAAAGGGGAAACTAATATATGAGATACTCATTACATGCAAAGCAAGATAGTTCAAGCCGTGATTTGTCATAAGTGCGATGATTATGGCTTACAACGCATGAAAACCCCAAATCTACATTCTCAGTAAATTAGAATATTGTGAAAAGGTGCAATATTCTAGGCTCACAGTGTCCCACTCTAATCAGCTAAGTAAGCCATAACACCTGCAAAGGGTTTCTGAGCCTTTAAATGGTCTCTAAGTCTGGTTCAGTAGGAATCACAATCATGGGGAAGACTGCTGACCTGACAATTGTGCAGAAAACCATCATTGACACCCTCCATGAGGAGGGAAAGCCTCAAAAGGTAATTGCGTAGGAAGTTGGAGGTTCCCGAAGTGCTGTATCAAAGCACAGTAATAGAAAGTTATGTGGAAGGAAAAAGTGTGGAAGAAAAAGGTGCACAAGCAGCAGGGATGACCGCAGCCTGGAGAGCATTGTCAGGAAAAGGCCATTCAAAAGTGTTGGGGACTTTCACAAGGAGTGGACTGAGGCTGGAGTCAGTGCATCAAGAGCCACCACACACAGACGGATCCTGGACATGGGCTTCAGATGTCGTCTTCCTCTTGTCAAGCTGCTCCTGAACAACAAACAATGTCACAAGCGTCTTACCTGGGCTAAAGAAAAACAGACCTGGTCTGTTGCTCAGTGGTCCAAAGTCCTCTTTTCTGATGAGAGCAACTTTTGCATCTCATTGGAAACCAAGGACCCAGAGTCTGGAGGAAGAATGGAGAGGCACACACTGCAAGATGCTTGAAGTTTCCACAGTCTGTATTGATTTGGGGAGCCATGTCATCTGCTGGTGTTGGTCCACTGTACTTCATTAAGTCCAAGGTCAACGCAGCCGTCTACCAGGAGATTTTCAATCACTTCATGCTTCCTTCCACAGACGAGCTTTATGGAGACTTCATTTTCCAGCAGGACTTGGCACCTGCCCACACTGCCAAAAGAACCAAAGCCTGTTTCAATGACCGTGGGATTAGAGCTGAAGGCCGCTATTGAAGCATCCTGGTCTTCCATAACACCTCAGCAGTGACACAGGCTGATAGCGTCCATGCCACACAGCATTGAGGCAGAAATTGCTGCAAAAATGGCCCAAACCAAGTACTGAGTCCATATGCATTCTTACACTTTTCAGAGGTCCGATATTGTTCTATGTACACGCCTTGTTTTATTGATTGCATGTAATATTCTAATTTACTGAGATTGTGGATTTGGGGTTTTCATGAGCTGTAAGCCATAATCATTGCACTTATGACAAATCACAGCTTGAACTATCTTGCTTTGCATGTAATGCGTCTATCTCATATATTAGTTTCCCCTTTTATGTTGCATTACTGAAATAAATGAACTTTTACACGATATTCAAATTTTTCGAGTATCACCTGTAGTTGTGCCTAACTAAGTATATCTAAAAAGATAATTCTGGAGTTATCTATTGACATTCAAGACAAACTAAACCCAAATTGTCTGCTATTATTCCAAACCTGTGCAATTCTCTTTCCATTAATACAAAATATTTTCAGAAAACTACATTAAAACCATGGAGTGCTCTAGTACCCCACAGTGTAAGTAGTCAAAATCTTGTAAAATTGGGATTCGCCAAGTGCTGCGAGAGATCCTGTTAGACATAGCCAAACCCAGGGATAGCTCTCTGTTTGAGAGTGTGTAGCTGATGATGATCCTTTATGGGAAGGCCAAGCTCAGGATGGCTAATCAAAGCATTTAACCCATTTAATTTAAGGAAAGCAAAAAACAAGTCGCAAGAGAGTGCTGAGAAAGGACAACAGCTCAATTAGGCTGCCCTTTGGTGGGTCCCCGCTCAGTTCTCAAGCTGGTTTTAGCTCATCTTGTTCCACTACAGAGAGAACCAGGCCATGCATCTCAAAGTGATTCCACCCAAAAGGGCAGAACAGATCCAAAATACAGGCTGTCTCTCTGTACACGAGAGGTACAGCAACCCTAGACAATCATTTCAACCTTGTTAGGCATCATCAGTGAGGCATAGCTGATATCTCTCTAGGCACCATGAGCAAGGGGTCCACGTCTGGATTACCCTTTAAACTTAAGGAGAGCAAAAAACAAGTCTGTGCGGGGACCCGCCGAAGGGCAGGCTAATTGAGCTGTTGTTTGTTCTCACCTCTCTTGCTACTTGTTTTTCTCTCCTTAAGTTTAAAGGGCAAGCCAGACGTGGACCCCTTGCTCACAGTGCCTAGAGGGATATTGGCTATACCTCACTGATGATAGCTTACAAGGTTGAAACGATTGTCTGGGGTTGCTGTATCTCTCGTGCAAAGGGAACTTGCTGGCATTTCGGATCTGGACTGCCCGTATGGGTGTAACCAGTCTGATATGCTTCAGATATGTTCTCTCTGTAATGGCACAAGATGAGCTAAAACCAGCTTGGGATCTGAGCTGGGACCTGCCGAAGGGCAGGCTAATTGAGCTGTTGTTTGTTCTCACCTCTCTTGCTACTTGTTTTTCTCTCCTTAAGTTTAAAGGGCAAGCCAGACGTGGACCCCTTGCTCACAGTGCCTAGAGGGATACTGGCTATACCTCACTGAAGATACCTTACAAGGTTGAAACAATTGTCTGGGGTTGCTGTATCTCTCGTGCAGAGGGAACTTGCTGGCATTTCGGATCTGGACTACCTGTACGAGTGTTAACAGTCAGATATGCTTCAAATATGTTTTCTCTGTAATGGCACAAGATGAGCTAAAACCAGCTTGAGATCTGAGCGGGGACCCAACAAAGGGCAGGCTAATTGAGCTGTTGTCCATTCTCACCTCTCTTGCTACTTGTTTTTCACGCCTTATATTTTCTTACAGTGACAGCTTCAAATTTATTTGTTCACCTGCAGTTGAGTTTCAGTATCACCTTCTAAATACATTGGAATAACGTCTCAATTTTTAACCAAGATAAAACAAATTAATAAGGAAGAACTTCAAATTCCTATCAACTCCAGTTTAACTGAACAAGAAGGTGTTTACTTCAAATGTGATAAGTTGTATATTCCTCCTTCTTTGAGAACTGAAGTATTAGATTTGGTCCACGACCTTCCACTTGCTGGACACCCGGGAATAAATAAAACTATTGATCTACCAGGCATTTTTGGTGGCCTGCTTTACTTCATACTGTTTCGTCCTATGTGTCCTCATGCCATGTCTGTCAAAGATCTAAACCTGTCCTTCAACATCCTTATGGACTATTAATGAATCTGCCTATTCCTGATCGTCCATGGAAAGCCATCGCTATGGATTTCATTGTTGACTTACCAATGTCTTTAAAACTAACCACTCTTCTTGTGGTTGTAAATCGTTTCACTAAAATGTCTCATTTTATTCCAATTTCAAAAATTCCTACTTCTCTCAAACTATCCAAATTGTTCATCTCTAATATAGTACAACTTCATGGCTTACCTGACGAAATTATCTCAGATCGAGGATCACACTTCACATCTAAGTTCT